TCAGAAGTCGGCAGCACGTCGCGTAACCGCGTTGCTTGAACCGAACCCGACACGGCCTTGCTCCACTGTCAGAGGGCGCACCGTGTGAGGAAAAGGAACGGCCCGGGGAGGTGAGATGAGCAAAGTGTGAAGAGGGAAAAAGTGAGAGTGAGAGACTCGAGACGTGTTTTTGGATAGACAGATGATAGACTTCACACGGCTTTGGGCCCACATTCGCGTAGAAAATCAACCAAGCTTCACCAGAATCAGAAACAACTTTGAAAGATATCAAAAACCAGCAGATATCATCCCGAATCCACGTCCTACAAGCACATCCAAAAGTCAAGTCATGGAAGACACACACACCTGCAGAAATGCAGACAGGGGTCCTCCGTCCTTTCTTTGGGTCCGGACCCACACCCGTGTCTCCCAGTCCCTGATCCTGCGCGTTTCTTCCCCCCCCGAAAACCGCGTTTTGGGCTACTGCACTGCTGCCAGCCGTGCACATACAGTACTACTATCCTTATACATAGTATCTACCTCCGATCACAGCCTCGGTCTGCCCAACTAGTGGCATAGCTGACTGCTGAACATGCTGTGTTGAGCCCCAAGCACCCCGCCAATGCAACTGGATCGCGTGTCACCGAGATCGCTCTTTACACAGCATTATCTTCACAATCCCATAATTCGTTGTGTATTTGATAAGCTGCATTTCCACTGTATGCATGACGTTAGTGTCTGAACAGTCCAGACATTGTGTACGAAGCCACATGAAAAGACTGCGTCATTTGGCGGGAAACCGGCGCTCCTCAATCTCGGCAGCTCTTGCACGTCGACCCCTGCCCGTCGCGTTTTTCAATATTACCACATTCCATACTTTCATTATGAATTGATGCAACATTTACTCAACTAGCAAAGATCTACCATTTTCGATTTATTCGCGAGGACTAATTCTCAAATCATGTTTATGCGGTCCGTTTCATTACTTTGGGAGTGAATCCCGATACGGGCCCGGACCTCCGGGGGCCCACGTCCACCGGAAGGTCCGTGCACACACGCGAATCGGCTCCGGCCCGGCATGGAGCTTGGACTCAACTAAACCCGCAACTCCAGAGAAGAGGGAACAAATAACCCATGGATACTTTTGCCAGCAAGTCAAGGAAATATTGGTAGTTAGGCTAACAACTTGAGCTCCAAGGCAGGTTGCAATCTTATCATTCAATTTTTTATTTTTTATTTTATGTTTTTTTTGAAAAACAATCAATTACATTTTCTCTCGTAGCCTACAATCACTTTAGTGCAATGGCACCAACCCAAGTTATTATTACCAACCCTATACACACACCTTTCTCCTTTTAAGACAAGTCCAGCTCATCTTCTGTTTGGAATTCCAGAACGCCTCCCCTGCTTTGATATGCCAGCAAAATGCCACCCAAAGTCAAAAGTTCCCGCTCTAAGTCACCGCCCTTATCCCCAAAGAGAGAAAAAGGTGGTGAAAGAATTCCACGACAGATCCCTTTTTATGAGAAGCCTGCCGGCGTCCACTGACGCCTTTCATGAGATCCTGGGAAGAAGCGGCGCGCAGCTGGAGCCTGTTGCTCAACATAAGTGACACAGCTTCCGTCGCAGTTGGTTTGCTGGTTGTTTTCCCCTGCATCTGCCTCCGCTTGCGTTACATAGGTGATGCAGCTACCATAGCAGTCGGTAGTCTGGTCGTTGCTGTTGCCATCGTCACCTCCTTGATTTTCCTGGTCGACATGGGTGATGCAACTGCCGGTGCAGGTATCTGTGTTCTCGTTGGTCTGAGAGCGCTTCATGGGAATTGTCGGTGTCGGCTTCTCGTTCAAAGCAGAGGCCTGGAAGGCCAGGACCGCAAATGTGACGGCTTGAGAGATTCTCATTCTCGCTAGTGGGTTTAAAAACGTGTTATTGGTGGCTATTATTCAAGGAAGTAAGAACTTTGATATGTAAATGGTTGATCAATATTATGCGTAATGCTCAAAGAATACGATTAACGGTGTGGAAAGAACGCAAGTGGGCTGGGGGAACGATGTGGACATGTGGATATGTTATACAAAGTGGAGAATGACCATCACGGGCCAAAATAAGCAGGACGGTGCTGAGGCCGTCTCGCGTGCGTTGCAAACATGGTACGAAACATAAGAATGGTAAAAAGACCTAAATGTCGTCAGCGTCCGGCCACAAGCCAGCTATATCAGGCCTACTCATTTGTTTACGCAGTCTAACTGAAGCTTGCAGTTAAGTCTCAAAATTGACTGATGTGGCTTTTCAAACGTGCATGTCAGCATGCATGGTCACGCCGAGCATTAATTCCTAGATATTTCAGCGGGCGCGCGGTCCAAACCCAGGCACACGCCAAGAGACTGGAGTGTACTGAAGTAGGTCCAGGGACAGGTGTCTGTAGGCGCCCCCAAGAAAGAGATACGTACGTATTTTCAATACATTTCTCGCTGATATCTGGGCTCAGCTTATTTTGAGTCCAAATCGGTGGACCGAGTCTATGGCCGGGGCTGATAGTGCCCACAGGTCTACGAAAAGTGGTTGGCCCGGGGTCGGTCATATTCAAAACTCGAATTTCTTGGTGAAACCATTCCTGTCAATTTTTGCTGTTCTTGAAGTGTGCTGATTCAGAGACTGCACGGCCGAAGCTGGCCGGCGATGCGGTCTTGTACCTTGCGTGCTGACGCTGTGGCTCCTTGCCAAGTAGGCCTACACAACGCTGACATATTTCCTAATGTTTCAGTTGTCTTCTCGTATCAAGTCATAAAGAGGGTTGATTTTCGATGTAAGCACTTGTCTTAAAGCCAGTATTGAAAGCCAAGAGCCACCTGCAAGGTGTCAAACGCGTAAGCAGCAGTGTTGGGTGAAAGTTGCCTATCCCCGTCACAGCACATCTCACGTTTGACATCTTAGCTCTTTTCTGGCATCGCACCTATTCTATAACCTCCTCTTTTGTCCTCGGCAATTCTTTCTGACCCCTCTCCTTAGCCCACTTCTTTCCACTCCAAAGCTTCTCTGTCGTCCACAGCCAATAGTCTCTCCCTTTGATAAGCCAAACAAAGAAGCTGGGAACTTGCCATCCCACCGCCATCCCAACACCTTTACCCTTGCCAATGGGTACGAACTGTGTCTCCCTTGTATCCTCGCAGAACACGGCATCTTGTCCCCGTGAGTCATTTTGGCCCGCCGCGAGAAGCAAGTCTCGCTTCATATTAGCACATAACACCGGGACTGCCTCGAGAATATTGTGTATGGCTGGCCGGGCATAGTTGCTTACGTCGCCAATGGCGTAGATTCGTTCACCGGCTCTGTCTACGCGCAGAGTTTTTGGGTTAGTGTCAATGTAGCCGCCTGCTGAAAGCAGACTCTTGTCTCTGATGAAGCTGGTGTTTGGAGTTGGTCCTGTTGCCGGAATAAACAAATCTGCCTCGAAGGATCTTCCATCCTCAAGCAAAACGACAGACTCGGAAATCAGCAATCTTGGATCTTGCCCTGCTCCCTCGGGCGTGACTGATTTGACACGGGCGTTCTTGACCAAGGTCACTCCCAATCTGGACAAGTAATGTTCTGCTTTGGCTGCGATTGATGGTCGGAGATCCGGTAGAATTTGTCTGCCGCTGGTGATCAGGGTAATTCCAGCTTTACGCGTTGATTGTCGTGGTGTGAAGAAGCCGGCTCTGCCATTTAGATACTCTCCTAGCTCGCCAGCTGCCTCCACCCCAGACGGACCACCGCCTGCGATGACAATCCGTTTAGAGTACGATAGGAAGTTTCTGAATGTTTGCCAGCAGTCTTTGAGGAATTTGACGTCCAGGGAAAGTCCGAGCAAGGGGGACGGCGTGGTAGCACCGGTTGCTATGACTAGTGCGTGGAAACTCACAGTCTCCATGGTGCCGTCGTGCTGCAAGACAGTGACATGTCGTCCATTGTGATCGAGATCCGTTGCTTTGCCCCAAACAAGGCGAAGGTTTTCGGCTCCGTGTTTTTGCAACTGAGTGCTGTTGATGTTGACAAAGAGTCTATTTGGCTCGAACATGTCGTCGGATAACATGGCACGAGGGCATGCCGGGCGGCAAAAGACTTCCCGCGAAGGGTTGATGAGAATGATCTGATAAGTCTCTTGCGTAGGAAGCCTTGGTATTACATGTCGCAGAAGGTAGTGTGCTGTGGACAAGCCACCATATGAGGCGCCCAGTATGACGACGTTCTTGGTACTACCCATGTTGGCGTATGTTCATACAAATCCAAAATATTTCAAAGAATTCAATCTGTGCTGCGAAGGTGTCATAGGAGTGTGCTTGTACAGAGAGCAATTTGTTCTTCCAGCTCGGTCACAAGGACTCAAGGAGGGCGAATTTGGCTGGTGTCTGAGAGCGCACATATATAATCTATACTCGGCACCCGCCCGGCGGACGACACTTTTCTGTCTACCAATCGTAAGCTCACTTGCTGCTCAATAACGCACGCCACAATCAGTATCAAGAGGCGCAGTATGTCAGCCGCATTCTTCGGTTCCCGGGCGCGGACGAACACTTGATTTTTTGCGCGATTGTTGACTGTTGAAAGTACGAGGGGTTGCTACGAAAACTTGAAGCTACATTGCCATGATTATTCAATTTGAGCTTTCTCTTCATACAGATCTAATCGATTTCGTTTCCTGGCCAATAATAAGACACTAAAGTGGAGTGGGCTCTCAGCAGCGTCTCAGACGGCACAACCTTTAGCAGCATCCGTCTCTCCAATATATATAGCACCCAAGAATGAATGCTTACAATCAAAAGCATAAGTCTAAAAGGAAGAAGCAAATGAAAAGTGCAACGCCCGCAGGCTTCGAACTCACGCCCCCGAAGAGACTGCCTTTGACGAAGAATCCATACCCTTCTTTCTCATTTCCAAGACGTAGTATTGTCGAGTGATGAGCAAGCACATTCAAAATGTAAAGGAAAAACGAATAGGACATCAAGTTTGAAGGGTGTGAATATAAAAATCAAAAAGTAACGCGACAGAACAGAGATTCGAACTCTGGCTCCCGAAGGAACTGGCTTTTCTGTTGTATTTCATCGAAATATAGCAGGCCAGCGCGATAACCACTCCGCCATCCTGCCGATGCGGTGGAGAAATAAGTGGTTTTGTGAGTATATATACGTATGGGAATAAGACGCGGAGATACGCCCGCCGCAGCGCCGCCCGCATCCGTCAACGGCTTCAGCTAGGTACGTACCTGGTGTTGGCGTAGCACCAGTACGACTGCCAAGTACATTGCATTTTGTATTTGAAATAGCTGTATCGTATATGAAATATATAATGTGGGGTTTAAGTGGGTTACGGATCCTGATCAAGTTTAGTGCTCTCCATGCGGGCGGTAACTACAACATAAGTGAGGATGTTGATGAATACGACTAGGATTCGGTTTGCTATAGAGGCATTCCTGACCTAAGAATTGCCTCTTCCCCAAATTGTGGTGGCTAGGGATTGATCGTACGGAGAGGATCCAAAAAGCTGTGCCACCTTGCACTGTACATGTTGAAAAGATCAAGAATCCAGCAGAGAACACCAAGAATTTAAATCGCACACTTCTTCATGGTATTCATAGCCCAAACTCAGTTTTCGGTTGCTTCCCAATCTTACAGAAGCCCTCTATTCGACCGATGCCAGCAGAAAGGTGTATACATCACATCTTGTCTTCCTCATACATACGCCAACTCATACGTGTAAGAGGCTCATTAATTATTAACACAAAACAAAATCAAATTGGTCCTGGTGAGCCATTCGTATCGATTTACCATACCTATTTCCAACATCCTGATTGATTGTTCCTCCCTTCCGCCATCCCTATCATTTCTACCATAGAGTAGCGATCATATGACTTAGACCGGGCTTACAAATACCTTTCATGCGCGGATATTCTAGGAACCACTGCTCAGTGTCTAGAAGCCTGTGTTGCATCACACATTTCTTTAAATTGTTCCGACCAAGAGATACAAGTTCTCGAAATGTGAGACAAAACATGGTAGGAAGAGCAAGACTTTGGAGGATACTGCCGTCGATTTTCGTAAACCTGGGCAACTCGGTGCATGCGGAACGGCCACAGAGAACCTTAAGCTTAACATCCAAGGCCATCGCTCCACTGTGGGTGATATAAGCGTTTGTAAGTCAATGTGCGATGGTTGGCTTTAGCAGTGACATGAGATCAACGCGTCATCGCGAAAAAGGACTTGATGTGTATGTCGAAACAGAAATTCATATCTAATTGACTAAAAAGGTATGTGCATTGGCAGTAATTCACGTGTGCGCTATTAGTGTGTTTGACATGACTTCTTTGGTATCATCAGCAGGACAGCTTAGGAGTACCAGCTGTCATTTGCTAGGATCTTACGGCCAACACCGCCCGCTCCCGTTCTAAGTCCTTCCAGTCTTGGCCGTATGAACACGGTGAGACCAGGTGTTCTACCTGTCAACCATCTGCAAACTTCGCAGATCCATCCATTGGTGCTGAATTGACAACAAAGGTCACGAGCTGATATGCATAAACGAGGCTATAGGCATGGGGTTTGTCTGTCTCTAGCCACCAGACTATCGTCGTTTGCATTTCGCGCGGTCTTCGCGGCTAATTTTCTGGAAATGGGTTCTCAACTTCTGCTATTTGTGCGTCCTGCCAAATATTAAAATCCTCTGGCAACCTGGGTGGCTCCTCCGTAGATATGGTACATCGACATGAGATCATGCCATCTTCAAATATGCCTCTACGAAACGTGCCAGATGCTCCAATCCAGGCTGTACATGGAGGCGTTTCGTCTAGGCGACCGGCACTACCTACCTACCTAGGTAGGTAAACAGGCAAGAACAAGGCCGATTGATCTCACATGAACGTGCATCTGACAAGCGGACCGAACCGCGTTTGGCCCTGCTTGATGTGCTATGTAATCGAGACACCGTAACGGGATCATGTGATTATTTTGCAATAAAAATAGTAAACGGAAGAAGCATAAAGTGGCCAATTTATTTTGTCAACGGGGAGTTGGTGGAGTCTTAACCAAAGTTTATGTACATAGTATCAATGAGTCGGAAAAATGGAATACTCACTTGACGTCCTAATTGCTTGCTAAATTAGCCGCCCACGGAAATGGTTCTACGTTGTGATGATCAATAGTGATAAATCGAGGATTGCTTCGGTTGTCGACTCCCTGCAAAACCCGCTGGCAAGCGACTTGCAGGGCTAAGACCCCGCCACGTCACTATGTCGTTCCCGGACGTCCAGCTGTACAACATCCCACTTCCACACGGCAGATCAGAGGTTTCACAGGAGGTGGGGGGGGGGGGCGCTGTCTTATCAGCGACTACTCTCCCTTTTTAAACAAAAGAGAAGTCCTCCTGAAAGCAAAGGACCCGGGTGTATCTCATTGCGGTTTCCGGTTTTCCTGTATACCACCATCAAGTCCTCCCGTCGATAACAACGATACCCTAGAAATTCCTGAGTCTTCCATAGACGAAACCCCAGGGCCGTCTTCCATCGCCTTCAAAATGTCTACGACTGCAACTCAATACCATGGAAAGCTGTCTTTCGACGTGTCCACTGGGCTTCCGCCCACCTCAACTCGAACCCCAGCGATCGACGCGGACGATTTTATCGTGAAGCCAGGAGTGCCAAGAGCCAATGCCGCCGTATCTTCCAAGATGCCAAACGGAGACAAGGCATATACAGAGGATTTCAAACATTACGTATGCACGGCTGCCCGTGACTCCCGGCTGTGGGCAAGACCTGGCATATGATGACTGACATGCCCTCTGCTGTGCCCCAGACCGTTCTCCAGCAGCACTGTCTATTCTGGGATCGCGACCAGGACGGCCAGGTATTCCCCTGGGACACCTACGTTGGTTTCAGAGAGTTGGGATTCAATATCGCCTTCTCGGTTCTTGCAATGCTGATCATCAACACGGGGTTCTCTTATCCCACGCGCCTGGCGCACTCGTGGATTCCGGACCCGTTCTTCCGAGTCTATCTCGACTCAATCCACAAGGCCAAAGTAAGAAACAGTGGCAGACCCGTTTCCACTCCAGCGGGTTGCTGATCAGTCACTCTTAGCACGGCTCTGATTCGTCGACATACGACACGGAGGGACGATTCAGACCGCAAGAATTCGAGGATATGTTTGCCAAATACAGTGGAAGTGAAGATGGTGCGCTCACATTCAGAGAGCTGTTTCATATGATGTCTGGCAATCGAAACGCAATGGATCCGTTCGGAGTAAGTTAACGTCGATACTAAATCTCAGTCTTTCAGGTCCATGATCCAAGTACCCAATCACATTCACCACAAAATACACTAATGCGTTTGGGATTTTTGCAGTGGGGAGCCGCATTCTTCGAGTTTGGGACGACCTGGCTGCTCATTCAACAGGATGGGAAAGTTTCCAAGGAAGACCTTCGAGGCGTCTATGATGTGAGTCTAAGAACAGGCATACCATCGTACATCTGCACACAGCGACGTCCAGGCCTTCGAACGTAGCATCAACTAATGTACGCGAATAAGGGCTCCATCTTTTTCCGCATTCGAGACAAGAGGCTTCGATCAAAGGCGGGCTGGACTCAGGGATTTGGATTAGGCGGCGACGGCTTCGTCGGTAGCGAGAAGCATGCCCATTTGGCCGCCTTGAAATTGTGAGCAGGCCGATGAAATCCCTGTTCTCAACGACAGTGACGCGTGTATATATAGGGATCGACACTCTCATCTCTGTAACAAATCCTGGTGGGCTCTCAAACGAGGGAGGTAGATATCATGGGACAAGTCATCTCTTCACGGCTCTATACTTGACGCATCGGTACATGAGGGATTGCGGACTTACGGGACGGGACACAACGAAAGGAATTAGAAAGGTGGGGCAATATGATAGAGGCTATTGACTTGTTCTCTTCGGTGGGACTCCGGGAGACTAGGCAGAGGTAGGTTTGGGTAGGCTCTCGTCTTGCAATCGTAACGAATAGACACATAGATCGCATATATACAAATAAACTTCCTTTACGACTCTTCGATGGTCAGTCCTGATTTACATTGACGTAAAAAGCTAAGAGAACATTATCGACAGCTGTGGCGACTGTTCGGCCATCGTCCACTCGAGTATTAACATGAAGCGGTACCCTATATGACAGCTGGCAGGTGGCCTTGACGACTCTTCCGTCGCACGAATGTATTGGCATCCATCTTTGTTGGAGCATGTCGCCGCTGTTCTGGCACCGACCCCACTCTCTTTTTGGTTGATTGGACTGAAGTTGAGAGAAAAGAGCCCGTTAGCCAAGAGTTGATTATGTTAGGGAGTTGAGAATTACATACATTGCGGTCCTACTGCGGTTGCTCATCTCCCATGCTTGGAGTAGGTCTATCCATCTTCGAGGGATTCCAGGGTTAACTCGAGAGGATCTGTAGGCGGTGGTGATTATCCCACGATCCGGACGAGTGACTGTCACTGGGAGGAACAAGAAGGCAACGTCATATGGGACAATTTGCTCCGGCTGAGGTAGGGTACACGTTATCTTAGTGGTCGATCTCACCATGGCAATAACGTCACCTAGGATATATGCCACATAGATTTTTGATGCTGTAGAAGGAAGGAACGATTGCATTACGATCTATTCCGGGTTACTTAGCTCGAGGGCGGTCCCGGGATTGTCCCGAAGGTTTGTTTTTCAATGACAACCCACGAACTTCACGAAGTGATCGTACCGTGACATCCAGCTCACACTGCTCATGTGCCCACTTCTCAGTCAGGATTCCAGAATAAGTTTGAGCCTGCTCCCCTTTACCACTCTTAGACTGCCTAGCTTTCCATACCTTCACTCGCCCACAACAAACTCTAGAGGAAATGCCATCCACGATATTGGGTGCAGTAATTCCGCGAAGCCCCAGATTCCGCGCGCCAGCGCGCTGAGGTGCCTATGGGCATCATGCCTTTTCCGCCCGTCAACGTGCGGCTGCATGAGATCCCCACGGGATGCTTCTCCGAAGTGCGTCCCATCGGCCGTGTCTGACAAGCTGTCTTACTCAGGTGCTGACTATGTACTAGAAAGAGCTCTGGTCGGAAGTTAGAACCTCAATCTCGCTGCATTCGAC